AGCATCTGACTCTTGGTTTTGGCTCAGGTCATGATCTCATGGTTTCATAAGTACAAGTCCCGCATCAGCCTCTGCACTGACAGTGTGGAGGCTGCTTGGGATTCTATCTCCCTCTTTCTGCTTCTCCCCCACTCACGCTGTCTCTGTCTCTCTCAAAAATGAATTTAAAAAAAAAAAAAGGTTTTTAAACATTAAAGATCTAAATAAATGGAGAAATATACCATGTTCATGGACTGAAAGATTCACTATTGTAAAAATATAGTTTCTCCCCCTAAATAATCTACAGATTCAATACAATCCCCACCGATATGCTTTTTACATGGAATTTGACAAGCAGATCTTAAAATACGCATGAAAGTGCAAAGAACTTAAAATAGTCAAGACACTTAAAGAAGGTGGGAAGATTTGTTCTTTCAAATAAAGCAACTATAATTCAGACTGTGTGCGATGGGCATGGGAATAGACACAACAGAAAGCCCAGAAACAGCCCTGATTTCTAACAAAAGTAGCACTGCAAAGAAAATAATACGGAAAAGTATCTATCTAAATAATAAGAAAAAAAAATAAATTGACCCTCACTTCAGTCTGATACACAAAAAGTCAACTAAAGTTTTATGAAAGACAAGAAAACTACAAAAATTTTAGCATATAGGAGAATGTCTTCATGACATGGGATGGGAAAAAAAGTCTTAAACAGGAAAACAAAGAGCGTTACCTATAAAGAAAAACATTAATACATTTGACTATCTTTATTTTTGTTAATGTTTTAATTATTTTTGACAGAGCACAAGGGAGGGCAGAGAGATGGGGACATTAGATCTGAAGTGTGCTCTGTGCTGACAGCAGCGAGCCTGACATGGGGCCTGAACTCACTAACCATGAGATCATGCCCTAAGCCTGAGTCAGGTGCTCAACCAACAGAGCCACCCAAGTCCCCCACATTTGACTATCTTTAATTAAGAACTCATTTATTGGGGTGGCTGGGTGGCTCAGTCAGTTAAGCATCCTACTCTTGATTTCAGTTCAGGCCATGATCTCATGGTTAGTGAGGTCAAGCCCCACATCAGGCTCAGTGCTGACAGGGTGGAGCCTGTTTAAGATTCTCTCTCTCTCTCTCTCTCTCTCTCTCTCTCTCTGCCCCCTCCCACTTGTGCATGCCCTTTCTCTCTCCCTCTCAAAATAAATAAACTTAAAAAAATAACCTCATTTATCAAAAAGCACTCTAAACAGTGAAAAGCAAGTCTAAACCAGGAAAAGATGCCTGCTTCCCATATGCTGAAAAAGATTCATATCCAGAAAAAAGAAAAAGAAAAAGCATATACATACATAATTACAGTTATAGTTATAAATCAATAAGGAAAAAGACAAAATATCCAAGATAAAAATAAGACACCACCTCACCCCCAAAAAAGGGACACACGTATGAGAAGATGTCACCAGTAATCAGGGCAATGCAAATTAAAAGTACTATGCAATTATCATTAACATCCCCACCAGACTGGCAGAAATTAAATCCCAAGTGTTGATGAGAATGAGGAACAGTGGGAATTATCATATGCTCTTGGTAGAAATGTCAATCAGGCATGCAAGAAGTATGGGCATGGGAATAGACACAACAGTATCTATTAGACAGCAGTATCTACAAAAGATGGAGTTATACATATCCTATATCCCAGCAATTTTATCTATACCCACATACATACATACATACATAAACACACACACACACACCTGGAGAAACGTGTAAGAATGTTCATAGTGAATTGTTTATAACAGAAAAAAAAGTTATCCAAATATCCACATTAAAATGGTTCAATTGTGGGGCACCTGGGTGGCTCAGTTGGTTATGCATCCAACTTCAACTAGGTCATGATCTTGCAGTTCATGAGTTCGAGCCCCGCAGTGGGCTCTGTGCTGACAGCCTAGAGTCTGGAAGCCTGCTTTGGATTCTGTGACTCCCTCTCTCTGCCCTACCCCACTTGCATTCTCTCTTTCTCTCTCAAAAATAAATATTAAAAAACATTTTTTTTTAATGGCCCAATTGTAATACTGTCACACAATCGTATGCCATACAGCACAAAAAACAAACGAGATATGTACAACCACATAGATGATTTGGTTACATTTTTAAAATTTCAAAAAAATATAAAACTAAATCCCACTGTTAAAGGATACATGCTTATGTGCTAAAACTATAAAGAAAAATCAAGTAATTACCAAAAAGTCAGGATACTGTTAAGTCAGCAAAGGGGATGGAAAGAAGATCTATCACAAAGAAGGAATATATATGGAACTTCTGGGGGCTGATGCTATTCTATCTCTTAACCTAGCTGGTGGTTACAATGGTGTTCATTTTGTTATTTATTGCCTTTACATTTGTTATTTGTGTTCATAAGGAAAGGCTTAGAATATACATATATCAATACCTTTGCATATAACATCCAGAAAATTACCCAAGAAACTAATAACAGTTGCCTGCAGGGAAGACATGTCTAAGAGGGATTAAAGGACAGGAAGGGTAGTGGTAGTGTCCACATTACTGTTTTTCAACTACTTGACCTACAGGTAAAGCACGGGAGATTTAACTATGACAAGAAGATATGTTATTAGCCTTGACAATGTCAAAGTATAAGTATAAATGACACTAAGTGAGAGTTAAGAGTGGGTTAAAAAATGGGAAAGGAAGAGATAGGCTCACTGATAGTCATACCTTCCAAAGTGGAGAGTTAACCAAAACAATAGATATTTTAGTGTTATGTAAACTGTAAAGGTAACAAAGGAACAATTTGTTCCTTTTAATAATGTCCAACATTATAAAAATAATGACATAACTACCAAAAATCAGAAGGGGGGAAGAGGGATTTATGGAGCAGTACAGGTTACCCAAATCTTCATTTATCACAGCAGGAAGTTAACAGATAACATGTATAGTTGAAAAACCAAAGATGAAGCATATTATTTAGAAATATAAGTAACCACTTAAAAAGCTAAAAAACAGAAACAACAAAAGGGCATGGAGCACCAGCTGCATTTCATTGTAAGACATTAGATATTTGATTTTCAAGCATGGATATATATCGCCTTGATTAAAAAAGAAAAAAAATAATTTTCTACTTAGAACATATACATCTAAGGACATAAGAACATTTATTTTATCAAGTACAAAATAAGAGAATACTCAATCTACAAATGCTAAAATGGCCAAAATTCAGATATATTAATGTAGAGAGAACAGACGAATGCAACTACTATTATTGGATCAGAAGATGAAAATGAATACATCCACCACTCAATAAATGACCATTTATGAAAAATCCAACCTAAGGGGCACCTGGGTGGCTCAGTTGGTTAAGGGCCCTGACTTGGTTTAAGCTCAGGTCATGACCTTGTGGTTTGTTGAGTTCAAGCCCCCCACCCCCACCCCCCCACATGCCAATTCT